CACCCACCCACCCAACCAACTTCTGTCCGCTGGGCTTATTCGGGGCGCAGGGACTTCCAGAATAGCGGGGGTGGGAAACGCGCGCTAGTCCGGACCGAGGGGGGAAAACCAACTTGCGAAAAGGGCGTTAGGGAGCGGGAGGCTCTGAGGAAGGTGCCCCGCGCTCCGGTGGAGTTCATCCCGTAGCCCCAGTCCAAGCTGACAACTGCAGCCTGGACTCCCGACCCGATGCTAGGCGCGTTGATTCGTTGGGCCGCCTTCATTTATGCGCAAGGCGGGCGCGCTGAGCGCTGCGCGGGGAGTGCTCGGTGAGAAGGTTGATGCAGGGCGACCACCTTTTTCAAGGCTGTACAAAAATGTGTAAGCTCAAAGCAGGCCTTTAATTCGTTTTGGGTTCCTGCTTCGCTCGACCTTCTTTTTTCCAGGAAGAGAGTGCCTCTGGGCATATTTACGTTTGCTTCAGCGTTGTTTAAACGCAGTATCTTTACCCAGAAGGCAAAATACCTTGCTCAAGGGAGGTCCTTTGTTTCCGTGAAGATAAGATGGACCCTGAAAAGAGCAGCTGAAAGATCCCTAAGTTCTTACCACAGTACTCAGATAGACTGCTCCTGCTTGGAATGTATTGACTGTCCTAATAAAATAAAACAGTACAGTGCTCATGGTGGCCTCTGCCACTTTATTCTCGCAACAGCGGCTCAGTTAGGCTAACAGTGGCCCAAAATCAGAACTGAAATGTATGGGGAATTGAATTTGGATTTCCTTCTAGCACTTGCTCCAAATCTGTGGGGCGAACTCTAGATGAGCAGATTACTACTACCCCCTGTGCCTGTCCTTTTTGCTTTCCCCTTGCTAGAATACAATTTACCACATCAGGCCAGGCAATACTGCGTCCGGCCTTCTGCTCTCATCAAGTATACCCTCACCTCACTGTATAATCAAACTTGATGTGAACGTCAACGTACTGCTTGACCTTTGGTACTTATATTCCATCTAGGCTCTGCTGAGGACCCTTGGTCGTCCTACCACAATTATCCTCATGCTGTGGACCCACACAGTTTAAAATTGCAACCACGTCAAAGAGCACAGCTTCCAGACCACTCTGAGCCTAGAATTCTTGGGAATTTACAAGGCAGTTGTGGCATTCCCCCACTGGCTAGAACAGAAAAGCCAGCACAGCCCTTAGGGCTGAAACAATGGACTACAGAAACAGCAATAATGGAGGAATGGATTGTGAAGATGGCTGTGTTTGCAGATATAGCTAAATTGACTTGTTTGATTAAGGAGGGGACTACAACTACTTTTATAGAAGACTGGAAACCCTTTATGGGCTTTTTGGTGAAAATCGATCAACATGAACTGTTGATTTTGGGATTTGTTGATTAAAAAGGTTTGCTTATGGGAAGAAGGGAACTCTGATAGGCAGTATGGGAGGGTTGTTATGTTTGTAACTGCTGCAAGGAAGATTGGAAGTTGCTTCTTTATATATCTTTCTTTTCCTTGCCTTTTTCTTCACTTTTCTTTTACCCCTTTATCATCTTTTTCATTTTCTATTTCTTCTAAGTTTCTTCCTCTATGTGATTTTTTGAATCTTTGTAAAATCTTCTTTTAATAAGAATTATTCATAAAAAAAGGACTGGAAACAATGAATAGGAATAAAAAGCTTCAGATCTTAAAGAGGAGCGTTGATGAGGAGAAATAACAGTGAAACGATGCCAAACAGAGTAAAGAAAGCAAGCTGGTGGGTGTTTTC